TATGATATATAAAGATAGCAGGTCCAGCAGTTGTTCTGTTGGACAGTATGAAATGATACATTAGTAAAGTATATGTAAGACTAGTGGGATTGTGTGTAACCAAGGAGAAAGAGTGGTTGTGGTGATCATGGTGGGAGGCACAAGGTGAGAGTAGGAAAACGCCTTGGGAACTAGGCGGTCCTCTCCCCGAAGTGCTGAGGGATTTGACTAATATGAGGCAAATGCCTCCAGGGAAAGCAATAATCTCCATTAATTTAGAACACAGACAGCAGTAACCTCTACTAGATTTCTCTTTAGGCACAGGTATGGGGGGTGTGCCTTTTGGCAAAGAACAAGGAGTAGGATCATGGGCTAGGCAGACAGTAGCTCAGAAATGTAGTGGGATCCCTAATACCGAAGGAAGAAAAGCAAAAATGTCCTGTGTACAATTTGTGCCTTAGGAGAGGCAACCCATGTGTTGCTGGAAGCGGAGTTTTAGTGTCAGAGTGAAGTCATCTCCAATGATGGGCACTTGGACTAGGAGATGCCCTCTGGGATACGGGCCTGGGGTATCCTTTCCCAGAGGGTATCCACTTGAGGTGATGTGGGGTCTCACGTTTACCATGTTTGGGTCTTCAGATTGTAAATTAATGAAAGTATACAGACCAATAGCAATAAGGCCAACAGTCAACAGGAAGATGAGCAGCTGCACTGAGAGGGTTTTTGTTTTTGGTGGAAGTTTCAGCTCAAATGGGTCCTCTATCAGGTAAACAGCTGTCTAGTATATAGACAATTTGGTTAATGCGGCCCTTGATCTGGCCTCCAGCCCTTCTGGGATGAAGGAATGATGAAACATTTATAAAGATATGGGAAGACATTATAAAAAAGGTCTCATTTACAATGAGTCTTTATATACATGGAGGCAGTGCACATCCCCTTTAAATATAAGGGGGAAAGAACATTTTTAAAAGTTGATGTGAGGTGTAAACTGGCCAAAGGGCCTTGAATTAAGAGAGATTAAGGCCTAGAGCAAGATAGAGACCCATTTAGGGGGTCCATTTACCTGAGTGGAATTTGAAAAAGAGCTGTTTGAGACCATTATGTCTCTTAATTAAACTGGCTGATACCTACAAGGGATGTGAAAGTTCTATTGAATACCTTTTCCAAGAGATTAGCATTGTGTATTTTTAGAAGAAAAATGTATATCTTAGTTATTATCAATAACATCTGTAACTCTAAAAGTAATATGGCGTGCAATTGGAAAGGCCTTGTATTGTGGCCTAAATATATATGGAGATGTGTGATTTTGATTTATATTTTGGACATCTGTGAGGCAAGAGAGTCCCAGTTTTGTTAGCTTTTTTCTCCCTTAAAGGGACAATTATAGGCAATGACCCAACAGTTTATAATAAATGTGAAATGAGGCTACTTGTTGGCCAGGGCATCAGAAGTTTGGTTGAGTGTGTTGTTTCTTGGGTCCCATCCTTTATTAGGGACATCCTGGGTAAGAGATGGAAAACAGCAACATTTCATTGAGCTCCATCACGTATGACGGTTAGCAGTGCCATTTGCATAGTCTCTGTACTCCCATTGCTGTTCATTCAGTTAATCCCAAGTGGATTCTGAGCAGCCAAGTGATCTGGGGGAGGGGTGACATCCTCCAGCACCACGGCATTTAACAAGGGACTGAGGACAGGGGAAGCCACCTCCTCTTGCAGGTGGAATATGCCAGAGAGCTCAGGTTCGGCTCCATCCTGTCTAAAGAGGCCTTGGTAGCTGTGCTGAGTTTCTGGTGTATTGTTTCTACGACCCAACGCTTAACAAGCAGTTGGGTATGAAAGGTCACAGGCTCAGAGTATGTGAGAGCCTCTATTTTCCAGAGAGCTCAGCATGTATTTTATTTGTTGTTTTAATGGAGCATAGTATGAGGCTGAGAGGGCAGTTTCTTGCATCGTAAGCCCTTGGACAACTTATGGCCATCCTACGTGGTCTAGAGATTCCAGGAGGTATGACAAGAGGTTGCCAAAATTTCCTTGGTGAAAGACTCCTTCAGGGCACTAACGGGAGTACCTACTGATTTTAATTTGGAAGTAAAATTTGTAAATAAAGAATATGTTGCCTTCAGAACCCCCAAAGTACTAAAACATGTTGGACCTGTATACCTTAAATGTATATCAAATGAGGCTCCTTGGAGGAGGATATCATCAATGTAACATCACACCCGTGCTCCTGGAAAAAGGTGGATGCAGTTGAGATCTTGTCTGCCTAGATTGTGATGGCAAAGCTGCTGAGGTACCCAATGGACAGTCTGGAAAAGGTGTATTGTGTCTCTGAAGTGAAGGTGAACAGCAGCTAGAGGCTGGTGAAATAGGCACTGAACAGAACATGTTAGCCAAGTGTACAGGGGCAAAATATTTACAGGTTGTTGACTGAATAGAATCAGTAATTTCAATAATATTGGATATTCAAAACTACAGTGAGGTACCATCTCACACTGGTCAGAATGACCATTATTAAAAAGTCTACAAATAATAAATGCTGGAGAGGGTGTGGAGAAAAGGGTCTCACACTGTTGGTGGGAATGTAAACTGGTGCAGTCACTATGGAAAACAGTATGGAGGTTCCTCAAAAAACTAAAAATAGTGTTGCCATATCATCCAGCAATTCCACTCCTGGGCATATACCCAGACAAAACTATAGTTCGAAAAGATACATGCACCCCTATGTTCATAGGAGCACTATTTACCTAAATGTCCATCTACAGATGAATGGATAAAGAAGATGTGGGATAAATATATATATATATATATATATATATACACATACACACACACACACACAGACATATATATACACACAATTAAAAAGAATGAAATAATGCCATTTGCAGCAACATGGATGGACCTAGAGATTATCATACTAAGCAAAGTAAGTCAGAAAGAGATAGGCAAATATCATATGATATCACTCATATGTGAAATCTAAAATACAACACAAATGAACATATCTACAAAATAGAAACAGACTCACAGACATAGAGAACAGACTTGTGGTTGCCCAGGGGGAGGGGGGTGGGGGAGGGAAGTATTGGGAATTTGGGATTAGCAGATGCAAACTATTATATATAGGATGGATAAAATATAGTTCCTACTATATAGCACAGGGAACTATATTCAATATACTGTGATAAACCACAATGAAAAAGAATATGAAAAAGAATATATATATGTATAACTGAGTCACTTTGCTGTACAGCAGAAATTAACACAACATTGTAAATCAATTATACTTCAATAAAATTTAAAAGAAATAACATTGGATATTGAGTATGGGGGCCCCAATGGATGGGACCACATAATTAATGTTGTAGTAATCCATCATAAGGTGGCATTTTAATCTTATTGCTATATAAATTCTTTAGTATATTCATTTAGTATATAAATTTTGGATTTTCAATTACATCAAATTATAAAACTTTGCTTTAATATTATATTTATGTACATATTATTCAATTACCTTTTATTTTCTGTTTTTGCTTTTAAATCATTAAGTAATCTACAATTAGCATTATGTTTGCTAGACTGGTGTTTGCTTAGTACCTAAGATTTCAAGTTCCTGTTTTTTCTCCCCTTGAGCTTGTATCCACCTAAAGTGGCAGTCAGTTTTTCTGTTCTCTTCCTGTTTCAGGCTTTTGCACCCTGAAGGTGCAGTCTTTACTTTCTTTTTCTGGCTAATAAGAGGGAAAAGGGGAGGCTGAAGGGGCCAGGTGTTTCTGGGCAACTTACCCCTGGGATTGCCCCTGTCCATGGAATCATCAGTCCCTTTCTCACACTGCCATCTTTTTTTTAAAACGTACAGAATGGCTTGTACCTCTAGATGACTAAAACTTTTCCTTTTTTTTTTCTGTTGGGTGTTTACCTAATAAGCTTCTATTGGTCGCTAGTGGCCTCTCTGTAAGCAGTGACCCCCTTCTCTAGGGTGTCCTAATCAACCTTAGAGGGGCTAGGGTCTACATCTAGGAAAGCAACGGTGGCATCAACTTCATCTTTTACATTTTTTGTTTTGAGCATGGGACTCTTTGCATGTTGATAAGCAGCAGCTCTTATGAGGGCCCATATGCATGGACCAGGGCTTTGTATGTTTAAAATTAATTGGATCAACTCTTCAGGTCTTGGCAGGGGATATGCTGGAACCTGGTGCTCCTTTCCCCTCCCCTCCTTCTTCATTAAACACTGAGCACCAGGGTCTCCAGGGATGGGACCTCTTATACCCTACTAGTGTGGGGAACGGATTGCTTGCGACAGCAGGAAGCAGACATAGCAGAGAAGCTTGTGACCTGAACAATGCTTGTGGAGAGCCATGATCTCCTGAGAAGACCCTCACACCAAACCCACAAATGGCCCACAGCACATAGGTGAGTGCTCAGGTGGAGCCATCTCCGACTACTTTGAGGAACAGGCTGAGATTTGACTCAGAAAAGCTCAGAGGGGAAAAGGAAAACGGTTTATGGATGCCTACAGGAACATGTAATGTCGCAGACTCGAGGTACTGATAAGGCCTCATTGGTTGTCGGCGCTGCCCAGTCAGTGGATTAGACTCATCTCGTGGCTCTAGGAGGGTAGTCATTCCACATCCCCAGCAGATGGACCTTTTCGAAATGTACCAGTTACCTATATGTATTTGCAGTTTGGAGAAAGACTCCTTTTTTCTTAAAATTAAAAAAAAATTCCAATTTCAATAGCATTCTCAAAGATTGTAAGAATCCTCACCAAGTGAGAAAAAGTGAGAGTAAAATGGTCAGGGCTTAAGAAGATCAACTATAAAGTAAACGTATGGAAAACGTTTGGCCAGAAAGGTCTGATATGAGGCCTAGCACACACTTAAAAACTCAACAACTGTATACTTGGTATTCAAGCTCACAAAAACCTCTTTCACTAGTCTCCTATTGATAGAATCAGAAAGAAAGGGAATATAAGATTAGGTTCATGATAATCACTTGTGGGTTATGACACAAGGAGAGTAGAAAATAAAATAGAAATTTTATGACATTTCATGTTTAAGCCAAATTCCCTGCCAGGATATTTTCTGCTTTGATGAATGAAGTAGGACTTGGTCACATCTTAAACAGATTCATAGAAGAGTAGTTTAAGCTGCCATCTGATGCATTAAAATAAAGGACACATGGTATTTTCCCTAAGCTAAATACCTCCTGTGATGCACTTTTTAGATTGTGGAAGGCAATGAGTTCAAGAAAATTTAACATAAAGCTAGACAACGGTTAAGTAAATGAAATCATTGCAAAAATGGAATACATAAATAACAATAAACAAATTTTGATGTTAACTTCTCAACTATACTTTTTGATATAATCCTCAGTAAAATCATTCTTGAAAGTGAAAATGAGCAAGGTGATGGTACAACCAGCAGAAGAAAGTCAGTGCTGATAACCTCTACGTGCTCATCCTCTAAGACTGCATCTTATTGTTCACACAATCTGCTCAAGTTCCCACAAAGGGGCTACCATGACCTGTCTCCTTCTACTATAGCTACATGGGCTGCGGCAGACACCAGCAACTGGGATCAAGGAGACATGCTCTGATTAAATAAACTATATGGAACTCTGTTGCAGGATTTCATGCAACTATTAACCTCATTTTTAAAAAAAGGAAAAAAACCACCCAAATTCAGGGCTAATTTAGCTGTCACTGGACAATTAAAAAAATAAAACAGTTCTGTTTTAAAAGTTTCATCAATAGAGACAAAAAGGTACTAAGAATGATAGTCATCCTTCCTCATCACTGCTGCTCCAGGCATCTTCAAATGCTGGATTTAACTGTGCTCTGGTTGAAGTCTAAAAAAAAGGGGCAAAAAAGAAAGACTCAATTATTCTACCTCATAATTTTAGGCTCACAATATAGTTATGAAATATATCAGATAAAAAGCAACTAGATTATTTTTGAAGAAACTATATAATTGCTAATTTCAAACCAAAAGTTAACAAAAGAAACACCCTGCATACAATATAAAATAATGTAACTTCATTTTAAATAGACATATCAGACTTTATCTAAATTATCTGTTTCCTTCAAAGTAGTTACCTCATACACACACACAGACACGCACAGACACACAGATACAGAGACACACACGCTGCTGCTGCTATTACTTAAGGCATTTTTACACCTCTTTGGAGTTACCCAGAGAAGAGGGCACATTAATATCCATGTGGCTAAGGCTGGACTCAGGTCTATTGTCTGCCTTGAGAGCCCAAATTATTAATGTGAGCAACTTTTTACAGCTTGGATGGACCTGATTTTTATAAATAAGCAAATATCCACATGTGGGGAATAAGGTGTTCATCAAACAGAGTAATATCATTTTTGGTATTAAGTGGCGAGGTTTATGTATGTATGTATGTATGTAGGTATGTATGTATGTAGCTAGGAAAGCAGTTGAAAAAGGCAGGTAAAATGTATTGGAAACGGTAACATTTTGTCATTAGCACATAGGTTTCCCTGGGAGATTTCTGTGAAAGAGAACATGCATTAGATGGTATTTATCTAAAATAACAAAACATCACAGTACTCTCACAACTTTAAAGCTGTACCTAATAAACGTAATCAGCAACAGAGGAATTTTAATTACCTGTGGTATTTCAAATCAATTCACTTGTTTGGGGAAATTTTTTGAATGGCTAACCTTCTTATTCTTTGGCAAATGATTAAAGGACTTTAAAATGATCTCTTTTTTGAGTATCTGGGCATTATGAGCCACGTGTGCTTCCTACTCTGCAGCTTTTATGTCTGCTGCCAGTTTGTTCAGACTCCAAATCCAATAATGTATTAGTTCTTAGATTATTCTTAAATTATCTTAGATATATTACCTTTTACAACATATAGCAATATTTTATGTTAAGGGTAGCCCCTACTGTATGTCTGAGAATGTTCATTTCCTTTTGATGAACATGATGATCTAGACTCTTAAAATTCAAACAATGATAACAGTAGAAAAAGTGGGTGTTTGCAGTAAATTCCCCAAGTATCATCCAGGACAGTCAGAAAACAATATGTGAATTTAGGTATTCTTTATAGTTGTTAAAGCTTAGATCTGAGTCCATTACTTAGTCTAATGGTGGTATTGTCACCATTACTAAACCTAATATTGGCTATCGTCACTTAGTTGCACAAACAAAATTCCATTATACCTGGTGTCCAGATCCAAAACTATTACCAAACCTCAGCAAACTATTCACTTATTTCTAGTAGCAGTCCACTGATTTGCAAGAGTAACATACTGAAGACTGTTTATTTATTCTTTCATCCAAGTGTTTACTGAATTTCCTACCTTTCTGGGTTTATAATTTAACTACCAAGTTAGGTTATTTAGTGACAGTTTATTTAAAGATGTATTATCCTTAGGGGTTAGGTGATTATTCTTCCCTACTCTAGCTCTAAAAGCCTTTAACTTTGCCTTAGATATCTACCCCAAAATGTCCCTGGGTAGAGGAACCATACAAAGGCCATGGCTTCTAATTTCACTATGGAAGCCCAATATGTAACCTATTAAACATTTAAATTTCATTTTAAAAATCAACAGAGAAGCAAAATTATATTTTAATGTAAATTATTGTTGCTATGGTAAGCAAACAAAAATAAGTGAAAATTGGAAAGGCAGTTGCATATAAATTTTACTGTTTATAGCAGTAAAGGATAACAATATGAATATATTACAGTTATTAGAAGTACATTTTATTGTTAAAAAACACACATAAAACATCTTACTTGTAATTGAAAGCTGCAGTAAAAATATTATATATGATGTGGTACACATATACTGTTTGAGACCTACTGATCAAGTTAACTACCATCTATTACTTCAGTTTTCTCTACAACATCTCCTCCTAGTGGACATTCTTTCTATGCTTGAACATATCCATCCAGCCTGCCTGTTCTACTGACAGATAGTTGTGAATGTTATGGAGACAGGGAAGCATGAGTTTAAAGGGGATCTAGTTCAGGTCCATGTAACGGGAAGGAAGAACGAAACCAAACTGGACCATCTTCCACACATGCATCTTGATAAATTCTAAATTTCTTACTGGTAATTAGTGGAAAATCTTTATAGGTAGAATATAGGGTTGTCTCAATATAGCAAGTGATTATACATTTACACAAGTGGTAAATAAAACAGGTACATATTGTGTAACTGTCAAAATAAAGTAAGATTCTTGATGAGAGGTCAGATTTAAACTGTAATATAGTCACTCTAGAGATCTCAGACAGGAAAAAGTGAGTAGGAGTTACATAGGCTTGCTTTGATTGTGACCAAATGTTAGGAAGAGGGGGCAAAAGGAAGGCAGATTCCTCAGAATATAACAAAACAGCCTGCCAACTGAATAATAGGATTTATGCTTAAAGACCATAAAACCTGTCCCTATTACCCAATGCCCTTCAATTTCTTATGGTAGAACTAAGTTCCTCCTCTATCTTGGATATCAGAAGAAAACACCCCTAAGGGATTGTATCTTGGTTGATGGAGAAGTAAATCTCATTTCAAGGGTGGATTTGAAAGGAAACCTAAGAACAATTTTGCTTTGATGATTCTGATGTTTGAAGATATCATAAACTTGTCTCACATCACTAATGACTGGCAGAACTGGGATTCGAACACAGTTACCAGTATTACTACTATTTAGTTTACCTGAAACTACAGACAAAGTGAGTGTGTGAGTATGTGCATGTGTATGTTTTTGTTTTGTGTTAGGTTGCCTCTCTGGGGAACTGCAGCAGTCCTTCATTTGATAGGTGAGATGAAAATACTTTAAAATATGAGTTAAATAGTAAATATACATGTAAGGAACAGGGTCTAGTGTAGACAGACTTCTCTACTGGGATCTGCATCATGATCATATTCATGTTCTACCTACATTCACAGAAATCTTTCAAACTAAAATTTTGTGGAAATAATCTTAGCACCTACCATTTTATATTAATTTGAGAATGGTGCCTATCTTAAAGCATATATACAGTGCATTTTAAAAGGTAAAGTTTCATAGCTCTAAAGCTTAACTATAAAGCTAACTTATTTTTTGTGTACCTCTGTTTGATTTCTACTTGTTCAGCTTAACTTCCCATATACAAAAATTCTTCTAGATGGGGAGTTCAAACTATCACTGTAACTATATAATGAGGAAATACACCATCAGAGTCACATACTCTCTTTATAAAATAAGCAATTTAGTTTTCTTCTAAATAATACCCATTTTTCATACGCAAGTCAAAGATGATTTTTTTTTTTGCGCTGGCCTCTCACTGTTGTGGCCTCTCCCGTTGCGGAGCACAGGCTCCAGACGCGCAGGCTCAGCAGCCATGGCTCACGGGCCTAGCCGCTCCGCGGCATGTGGGATCTTCACAGACCGGGCCACGAACCCGTGTCCCCTGCATCGGCAGGCGGACTCTCAACCACTGCACCACCAGGGAAGCCCAAAGATGATTTATTTCTAGTTTTTTTTTCTTTATAGTTTTCATTTGGTGAATGATTGTTAAACTTTCTAAAATGGCCTATAGTATTATGAGTTGGATTTAATGTATATAGTAATTCCCAAACAGCAGGACACAGTAATTAAATAATAATGCAAAATCAATGGCTGAACCAAATTATTTGAACATATTAAGCTTTGTACAAAAAAAATTCAGTATTTAAAGCAGGTGTACACTAAAACTAATCAAAGCCATAATAAATCAAATTAGACACATGATGAAATCTGGAAAATTTCACCTTTAGATAGCTTGACAAAAAAGTTAAAAAATTCAGAGGCTACTACCTAAGACCAGAAATCATGTCTTATTTATCTTTGTTTTCCCACCACATTTTTCAGGTTCTTTATTCATACTGTCATATTTGTACCAGTTTATGCTCTGAGATAGGCACTAACAGACTGCTGGTAGAAGTGTAAACTGATAAAATTTGATAGTGTGAATAAAGAACCTTAAACATGTCATACATGATAACTCAAGAGGTAACACTACTTCTAGGAATCTAACCAAAGAAGTAATCAGAAATGTAAATAATTTTTGAACAGATATTTACCTTGATGTATTTATAATGATCAAAAGAAATGTCTTCCAATAGGAAAATATTTTAGTAAATTATGGTAAATAAATGACAGAATTCTATATTATTAAAAACAATATTTACAAATACTTATTAATGACATGGAAAAAGTCTTAAGCAGGATGCCAAGCTGTATGTTCAAGCACAATATTAACCATGCTAAAAAGTATGCACAGGAAAAAACAAGAATGAAGTCAATCAAAATGTTAATAGTAATTAATAAACTTCAGAAATTTATGTTCTTCTCTTACTATTTTTTTGAATTTTCCAAATATATTATACAGGCAAATTATTTTTACAATCACAATATAGCAAGAAATGCTTTAAAAGTTTCTCTCATATAAAGTAAATTAATAAAAACTTTTTTTATGATTTAGAAGTCACTGTTCAATTTGTATAAATAATATTTACCTCCTCATCATCAGGAACTGATTCATGTAAGGATGGTATCCAAGCAAGAATATTGCAGTCTCTGCTACCGCTATAAAGTTCCTATAACACAAAGCAAAGATGTAATTGTAGGTCACTTTAAAGCTGGTGCCAATCTGAAATAAATGACATCAATTTTTAAATGATTATTTCTTAGGTTAGATTAATTAAGATTGCTTCTATTTCTACTCCCCAAAGAAACTGGGCTGATGTTTTTTTCTGCTTGTTTAAGATGTAGTAAAGACTTGTTTTGTATTTAAAAATAGTATTAGGATATGTTAACATGTTGCTAACATGTTAAAATTCACAAAAACAATCACTGTAATTTTTAATCAATCATAGTATCCTTTTTCTTTTTTTTTTTTGCAGTACGTGGGCCTCTTCTCACTGCTGTGGCCTCTCCCATTGCGGAGCACAGGCTCCTAACGCGTAGGCTCAGCGGCCATGGCTCACGGGCCCAGCCGCTCCGCGGCATGTGGGATCTTCCCGGACCGGGGCACGAACCTGTGTCCCCTGCATCGGCAGGTGGACTCTCAACCACTGCACCACTAGGGAAGCCCCATAGTATCCATTTATTTCAAGTGTCAGAGAATGAGAAAAAAATGGAAGAAATAAATTTCGTCCTTTTCTGTCAATAACTGAGCTTTAATAAAGACTTCAATGAAGAAACCATATGAGTTTCTAGCTAAAATAGACCAAAAGTTCAAAAAAAGAACTCAACTAAAGAGCATTAAGACATATATGCCATGCTTGCTGAGAAGCTTATTTTATAAGCAGCTTGGGCTGATGCACAGTCAATGTCAATGTCTTTATGGATATGCTGCCTGCACGTACTGAACAATGTTCATTCACCTCTGCACAAAACTTCAGAAATATGTTATATTGGCTAGTACTGAAAATATTCCTATGCAGCAGTCAAATAGATATGCTCCCATACAGAGGGTATAAATTGCTATAATCTTTTCAGAGAATGAAATCAACATGTGTCAGAAGTTTCTATATGCATTTCTAAGAAGTCATGCCAAAGACACACATGAAATTCAAGGATATTATCATCAATATTATATTTATAATAACAAAAATAATAATAATTTTCCAAAAATTATTGTCCAGGGTAATGATCTCTAAATTTATGCTGCATTAATATGATGTGATATTACATAATCACTAAATTTATTTTTGAAGAATATTTAATGACAGTGGAAAATATTCATATTGTCAGGAGAAAGGAGCAGGATGTAAACCAAATAGTCATAGTGTGAAAAGAAAAAAACAGGATGTAAAATACTAGGTCAATTTTTTAAAAACCTACTAAGCAAAGAGGAAGGGCTAAAAAGAAAAAAAAGCAAAATGTTAAGTGGTTATAAACCTCTGACTGACTAAATGTTTATTTTTCTCACAAATATATTTCTACACAAATATTTCTAACTATAACTTTTTTTTCCTGTTCTGGCAGGAAATTATTTAGTTTTACTGTTACTCATCTCAAAAGCTATTTGAGGCATGGTACAATTAGTATTTTTCTAAAAAAAATATGTAAAGGTTCTGGGTAAAGGGAAAATAAGATTATGAAGTGATTTATAGGAAATATAGATATAATGAGAATTAAGTAAATTACATTTAGTTACACATTATCAGATTTCCTAAATGGAACAAAATTCTACAGACTGCATTGTTAAATCTAGAATGTATGGTTACACTAACTATGGATGATGCAAAGATATTTTCATATGCTCAGTGCCCTAGAGCAATTTAGTTTCCTGAGAAGATATATACCCAAGATATACTAAGGTGAGATAACCTTGTCTTATGTTTCCTCATGATTAAATTCAGGTGATGTATCTTTGCCAGGAATATCACACACTTTGATAATTTGATTAAGCTGATGTATGCCAGTCTTCTTCAAGGTAAAATTACTCATTTTACCTTTGTAATTAATATTTTGTAGGGTGTTACCTTGAGATTATGTAAATTCCTCATCAGACTTTCAATTTATTACTTACTAATAGCAGAATGGACTCATGGATCCCTATTTTAGTCAAAGGGAAATAATCAATTATTATCATTATTTATTTTGATGTTGGGTATATATTTTCAAATTTTTACATTTATGATAGAATTACTATAAATATCAATTTTATTTTCAGATAGTGGGTTGTGTGTAACATGTAATTGGTTAAAAGGGTTCTGATGCTGAATGGAGGCAAAAATACTACTCTCCTTTACTTTTATAATTCAGATTTATAATTATTTTCCTTTTCAGAAATCATAATAGATGGAATGGGATAAGAGTTGGAAGCTTTCTGATGTAATGCAGTGATTCAAATCTTTCTTAGGGCACAGCACATATAGAAATGGTATTTGTCACACTTCCCTGGTGGTGTAGTGGTTAAGAATCCGCCTGCCAATGCAGGGGACACGGGTTCGAGCCCTGGTCCGGGAAGATCCCACATGCTGTGGAGCAACTAAACCCGGACACCACAACTACTGAGCCCACGCAGCACAACTACTGAAGCCCGTGAGCCTAGAGCCCGTCCTTTGCAACAAGACAAGCCAGCGCAATGAGAAACCTGTGCACCACAACAAAGAGCAGCCCCTGCTCGCCACAACTAGAGAAAGTCTGCACACAGCAACGAAGACCCAATGCAGCTAAATAAATAAATAAATAAATAAAAGAAATGGTATTTGCCAGGAGGCAACTGGCCCCAGCTCTCTGGCTATCCTAGGCTTGTCCCAGCTATTCCAGGGACTAAAGGGAATCAAATATCTGGACATACTTTCAATACATTCTAGGAAGCTCTTATTTGGTGGAAAGCAACAACTGGTAGTCAGAATACCTGTGTTAAAATCTTGGCTGTGTCTCTAAGTGACTCTGGATAAGAAAAGAGGTACTGTATTCTAAGAATTTCTTTGAATGGATAATCATGCTTAGTCAATCTACTTGCAGATTTGAGGCAAGTCACATCACCCCTCTGGTTGCCTTAGTAGCCTTTTCCCAGAAGTAACACTAAAAATATTTAATAACTGGTACATCAGGACACTGGCCAATCCAAAGAGATACTGGACATAGAGAGGGAGCAGGGTCTGAAGGTCCCTCTTAGTTACTGGGTCTAGGAGGCCCCAGGGAAGGGGGTGAAGCTGGTGGTCACTTAGGGGGCTTAGTACAACAGCTATGTAACAAACAGCAGGATATGAATTTGAGTATTTTAATAATGGATACTGCCATGCTGATGTGTGCTGGCTGAAAAACCAGCCCTGTATATCTTACTTCACAGCGTCAGATACAAATTAAGTAATAAGTATTAATGAATGAATGAATAAGGTGATAAAGTCCCTCCTAGCTCTAATAACCCATAATATTCATTCTTTCAGTATTTAATTTTCACGAGCCTCATTTTTGTTACCTACGATGCAGGGAAAATACCAACAATCTTGCTACATTAGAGACTCATTTAAAGGAGCATATGAGGTAATCTGTGCAAATGTTCTATGAAAAAAACAATCTGCTCCATTGGTGAGATGAAAGAGAAAGGTTAGGATGTTAAACAAACAAAAACCATAGGTATTTAAGAAATTATGTAAGTTGCATCAACACTAAAGTAGACTTATTAGTCATTGGCAGAAAATAAGAAAAAAATAAACAAAATTTCAGACATTCACACATACGTAAATCAAGATACACAAACCATATTTTGAGATGAGACACATATGTTCCATTTTTTCCCCAAAAGCTCGTTTGCAAGAAATTATTTTAATTTGCCAGAGATTTTCAACTGCCAAATAAATGAAGCCCATATACAAAAGAAAGAATTTATCCCAGTCAAGTTGCACAGTATTATATTGATTCACAGAGACATCCTATGCCACCTAAAAAAAATCTATCCTCTATTTAATAAACTCTAGCTCAGATGTGGATAAAAAGTATAATTCCTTAGAATGAAATTGCAATTTACTCTTTTGTATACAACTACTCTGGCAAGCTAGCTACCCGAACATTCTAAATTCCCCTAAATATCATTCTTACCTGGAAATTAGACTGAAATACACAGCAGTCAACACTTTTATAATGTCCCTTAAGCATAGTTATCTGTTCTCCTGAGTAAACTGTATAAACAGCAATGGTGCTACCATATGGTACAAAAACAAATTCTGAACTGCAGCCACAGGACACAGTGAATTTCAATCCTTTTCTACTGTCATTACATACTTTTCCATAGTTCACCTGTAGGATGTAAAAGCATAAAGTTACTCACTTAAATCTGAATTAAAAAGATAACAAAGATAGGAAAAAATATTTACTTAAAATATTCTACTATAGAAATGACTCTAGTAAGTCTAAAAAAAAAGATCAATGTCCTAATAGGAATAAGGGCCAATGACATAAATGTACATTTCATATACAAGGGAAACACAAATAGTAAAAAGACCCACAAAAACAAATGTTCACATTTCAACTGTGATAGAAATAAAAATGCAAATTAAGGCAACCTTGAAGAATCATTTTAGACCATTTAGCAAAAATTTTAATAAACCATTGAGACACTTCAATACTAGTACAAGTGAGGTAAACGTGTAGGTGGCACCACAATTTGATCATTCTTTCTAAAAGACCAAATGGTTTATTATGCAACAAAATATAAAAGTATACTTTATATATATATATATATACACACACACACACGTATATGTATATACTCCCTCCAGAAAAAAAAATTATATATATACACACATACATATATAATATATATATATTTTTGGAGGGAGGATAACTTTCTTTTTATTTATAACATTTTAAATTATGATAAAATACACATAACATTTGCCATCTTAACCACAATTTAAGTGTACAGTTCAGTGACATTAAGTATATTCACATTGTTGTGCAATAGTCACCACTAACCACTTTCCATCTTGCAAAACTGAAACTCTGTACCCTTTAAACAACAAAGACATTATTCCTTGACCTAGTAACTACTACTGGGAATTTATCTTATGGAAATAATTAAACAGCAAAAAGGTACATGCCGAGAGGAATTCAATTCCACACTATCTAGAATGGCAAAGTAACAGAATAGATGTAAATTCCTAATAGTGTTATATTAACTCTACAGTTTATATAGAAATTTAAAAAATCATAAGTATGAAAATTATGCAGAAAATAGGGATAAAAGCTAAGTATAAAAAAGCAAAGAACACACTGTGTATACTACAATTGCAGCTTTTTATAAATAATTGTATATTTGGAACAAAAACAAAAATTCTACACCTGTAAGTCAAAGATGCAAGACCAACAACATCCGCATCACCCGAGCAGTTAGAAACAAATTCTAGGCCCCATCGCAATCTACTGAACTAGAACCTTCATTTTAACAAGATCCCTAGATGTCCTGTAGGTCCATCAAAGTCTGAGAAGCTTGGGGATAAAGGTTTACTTCCTGGTGATAATTTAGACAAGAAGCTTAGGGTAAGTGTAAAACCAGTATCTAATCATTTAGGAATTATAAGCAAGCATATCACCAATATCTCCCTTCACTATGGCTAATACTGGAGTTGAAACAGACAGTGAGTGATTTGCCTTCTTCTTTTTCTAAAGGTTGGGTGGGAGTCTCTGTGTGTGTGTGTGTGTGTGTGTGTGTGTGTTTCTGTGTATAAACAAACACTGAGGCTCAAATGGATATATGCTGATAATTGTGGATACTACATTTGGCTTACCCACCCTCGAGGTTAACATGTGACAGAAATGAGCACATGTGTTCAACTATCTCAATGCAGGAGCGGTACAGTGAAATGTTAAAACGTTAAACTTATAATCAGTAGACTTGGGTTTTTGAAACCCACTCCACCCCTCCTCTTTTTTTTTTTTTTTTTTTTTTTCCTCTTATGAAGCGTGCCTTCCTTCTTTTGGTTTTTTTCTTGTTTTGTTTTGTTTTTTTTTAACATCTTTATTGGGGTATAATTGCTTT